GGGTGACACCGGGGGTGTGACACCGAGGGTGACACCGGGGGGGTGACACCGTCCCCCTGTCCCCCCAGTCCCCACCCGCTACGGCGTCGTGCTGGGCTCTGTCATCGGCGGTGTCCTGCTGTTGGTGGCCGCGCTGGTGGCCCTGGCTTACACCACCCGCTACTGCTGGCAGCGGCGCCAGGCGGTCCTGCAGCGGCGGCTGAGGTGAGCCGAGACCCCTCCCCAAATCCCCACCCAAATCCCACCCAAATTTCACCTTTCCATCCCTTTTTCCCCCCAAAATTAACCCAACCCCACCGCAGCGCCATGGAGAAGGGGAAGCTGCAGCGCTCGGGCAAGGACGGCTCCAAGCGCGGCCGCCAGGTGAGCGCCGGGGGACACGGGGGGCTGTCCCCGCTGTCCCCGCTGTCCCCAGGGTCCCCGGGGGCGGGAGGTGAAGCCCCTCTGTCCCCCCTGTCCCCGCTGTCCCCCCTGTCCCCGCTGTCCCCGCTGTCCCCGCTGTCCCCAGGGTCCCCGGGGGCGGGAGGTGAAGCCCCTCTGTCCCCCCTGTCCCCGCTGTCCCCCCTGTCCCCGCTGTCCCCGCTGTCCCCGCTGTCCCCAGGGTCCCCGGGGGCGGGAGGTGAAGCCCCTCTGTCCCCCCTGTCCCCGCTGTCCCCCCTGTCCCCGCTGTCCCCGCTGTCCCCGCTGTCCCCGGGGGCGGGAGGTGAAGCCCCCCTGTCCCCGCAGGCCCCCGTGCTTTACGCCATGCTGGACCACGGCCGCAGCGCCAAGAAAGCCAAGGGCGGCGCGGGCGACTCCCGCAAGGACAAGAAATAGCGGTTAGAGGGCAGGGAGGGACCCCCGGGGCCGGGGCTGGGTCAGGGGGACCCCCGGCCCCCTAAAATCATCATGACCATCGAGATGGAGCTGCGGGGGGACCCCCAGGCCGGACCCCCGCCCGCCGCCCGCTCCCCGAGCCGGGGCAGCCTCAAGAGCGCCCTGCTGAGCGTCATCAAACCCGACTCGGGGGGCTCCTGATGGACCCCCACCCACCCTG